CCACCTTCACTGACAAATTCACCAGCCAAGATTCTCAGCATCAAATAGGAAAAGCATCAGTAATTCTTTGCAAATATTTTACATTCTCATACTGATTTTCAGGTAAGAAACAAAAAAGTGAAACAGAAATGATAAGAAGGGGGTCAAGATGTTCAAGTGTGCTATATGAAGAATTTAGTTTTTATTTTAAGAGCAATGGAAAGATGGTAAAGGGTTTTAAACAAGGGAAAGTTATGTTCTTATATGTATTTTTAAAAGATCACCCTGCAGCATTAGTGGGAAAATGGATTCAAGGGTATAACAGTGCATGTAGGGAGATATTTACAAGTTTATTCTACATGAGCAGGAAAGATATGATGGTAGTTTTTGGACAAGGGCATTGATAGTAAGAGTGGAAAAACAGATATATTTTAGAGATATTTGTGATATGGAATCATTAAGACTATTAGAAGGAGGTCAGATAGAGGGATAAATCAGTTATAACCCCCTAGGTTTCTGGTTTGGACAAATGGACAAATCATAATGCTATTTTCCCTACTTTATGCCACTACTATTCCCTTATAGCTCTTATCGCCCTTTTGCTTGTTTTTACTGTTAAGCTGTATGAGGTCCTGATAAAAAAAAGGGTGGCATATTATTTTTCTGTGTTTACCTGGACCTAGCAGAGTACTCAGATGTAGCATTTTTATATAGGCTATGGATTAGTACAAAAAGACCAAAATTACCCACCCACTGCAAGTTCCTGATTTATTTAGCCAAAGATGCAGATAAACATCCAGTGAATGTCAGTATACCTTCCCTTGACTTCAAGGACATGTTGAATTTGCAATATAAGAAAAGCTAAATATCCTGTGGCAACTGCACCTCTTTTTATAGTTTTATATCACTACTCAGAAATAAAGTACACAAATATTTTTGTCTTTAGGAAAATGTTAACTTCTTCATTTAGGAGAATGTTAATATGACTTTGTTGGTTCATAAATCTAACTCAGTTATGGTAAGGCAACATCCTCAACTAAGTGGAAAAGCTGAGTAAGCCTGGCATTTCTGCAAGCTTTCCTTGCCCCTCACTACCTCGCATCCCAAAGAATGGTTTCACCTCACTGGCACATGGCAGATGGCCCTAAAATAAATCTCATTAAGAGTTTGCAATTATTATTCTTCAACACACCACTGTATATTCAATCCATAGCTTATGTGTAGCTCTGAATTATATTGTTTAAATAGTGAATAAATGAAAATATATGAATATTTGTTAGATAAATACTGAGGGAACAAGCCAATTTATTAGCTCATAGATTGTGAAGTTCTTGGTCTTTTATAATAACATCATTATGATCTAATAAGTACATATATTTTATGAATATAGGAACTATATTCCATGCAAATTTCTCAAGTCCTCACATTCTTATACTACAGCAGCAACATACTTCTGACTATATTCAATGGTAGAAACACTATAGTATGGGTCAGTGGTAGCATCATTTCCTTTAACGTATTTTATAAACTGACTTAGAGCTGCCACACAATTTTTTATTAGGACCTTCAAAAGTTAACTCAACTTTTAAGATTGAATTTGGAAGTACTATTCAAATTCGGTTGGAAGTAGTTTTAGTAGGACATCTTCTTTTATATGTTCTAGTCTTAAATAGTCAGGGCTAAGTATTAAACTAGATGCCAAATGTATGACACAAAAATAATACTGCCTGGTCCACAGAAAAATAAGCTAATACTTCTAGTCCCTGACAAAAAGGAGTAGACATGTCTATCCCTATTCATCCCACTAGTTAAATATAAAAACCCTGAATGTGATAACACAAAACAAATATTAGAAAACTCTGAAAGGCAGGGAAAAGAAGAAGGACACGAGAGGGACCATAGGAGTGGAAAACAACCCACAGTGATAAATTCTCTGGCTTTCTTCTTTCCTCCCAAATATCTCAAAGTAGGTACTAGAGAAATCCACAACCTCAAAATGCTAATGGACACAAATAAAAAACAGTCTCAAGCAAATTCTGCCCTCCCTAGCCAAGGAACTGAGAAGTGGGCAAACAAGTAGGACAGAAATCATACTGACAATAACCACTCTATTCCCGCCATATACCACTGGAAAAAGGAATTAAAAAAAAATCCTTGCTATTTCTGTCAATAAAGGAAGGTCAAACCAGAAGCCTGAAGTTCTACCCTCATCAAGTACAATGAGGCACCCCTTCACACATCCTTTAATGCAGTGTCAGCAGGAGTCAAGTTAGGAGCTAAGACTGCCATCACTTCTCCCAGTATTGATAGGACCCTCTCCCTTAGACACAATATCATCAGAGATCTATTAAAATAAAAGATTTAAATAAGATCTAAAGTCTCAAACATAAAACACTCCCAATGGAGACAAGTGAAAATCACTCATCATACCAAGAACAAAAAAATCTCAACTTGAAGGAGAAATTGTAATTAAGAAATACCACCACCAAGATAATAATGCACATGTTAGAACTACTTGGCAAGGATTTTTTTTAAAAGTAATCTCCACGCCCAATGTGGGGCTTGAACTCATGACCCTGAGAACAAGAGTCACATGCTCTACCAACTGAGCCAGCCAGGTGCTCCTTGACAAAGATTTTAAAGTAGCCATGATTAAAATGCTCCAATAAACAATTATGAATGATCTTGAGACAAATAAAATAGGAAGTCTCAGCAAATAAATCAGTGATATAAGTAAGAATCAAATGGAAATTTTAAAACTGAAAGTTATAAAAACCAAAGTAAAAAACTCAATGCATGGGTTCAACAGCAGATGAAAGAGGAAAAAAAATCAGTGAACTTGAAGACAGAACAATAGAAATTACCCAGCTTTAATGACACTGATAAAATAGGCTTAAAAATAAAATGAACAAAGATTCAGGGACCTGTAGGTTAATACTAAAAAATCTAACATTCATGAAAATAGAGTTCCGAAAGGAGAGGAGAAAGAATGTGGGCCTGAAAAAAGTATTTAAAGAAATAAAGAGGAAAATTTCCCAATTTGACAAAGAGCACAAACCTAGAGTTTCAAGAAGCTTAGAAAATCCCAAACAGGATAAACCAAAAGAAATCCATGCCAAGACAGGACATAATTAAACTTCTGAAAAGTAAAGACAAATGAAAATGATTGGAAGTAGTTAAAGAGAATGATGCACTCCCTTTAGAGGAATAATTAAAACAACAGTGTATTTTTCATCAGAAAACATGGAAGTGCCAAATTTTTCAAGTCCGAAAGAAAAAAAATGCTAAACTAGAATTCTCTAATCAGTGAAAATATCCTTCTGGAATGAAGCTGACATGAAGACATTTTAAATAAAGGAAATATTAGAGAATTTGTTGCTAGCCTAAATGAAATCTAAAGGGAAGCTCTTCAAACAGAAATAAAATGATAAAAGAAGGGAACCTGGAAGGTCAGCAATGAAAAAATGACGGTGGAAAGGCTAACAACATCCTTCTTTTGAAGTTTTAAAATTGTGTTTGATAGTTGAAGCAAAAACTATAACATCATCTAATGAGGTTCTCAATGCCCCACGTAGGTAAACCTATAGACACAGAAAGTAGATTACTGGTTACCTAAAAGGTGTGGTGGTGGTAGAGGAATTGGGGAAGTAACAGCTAAGTGGTGTGCAGTGTGAGGGAGGGGATAAATGAGAATGTTCTAAAATTTAGTGCAATGGTGGATGTATAACTCTTTGAATGCACCAAAAGCCATGGAATTATTCACTCTCTATGGCGAATCACATGGCTTGTGAATTATATTTCATTAAAGCTATTAAAAAGCTATTAAAAATTGTCAGGGACTATTTCTGGATAAATCTATAAATAATTTTCAAGATAAGAAACTTTCTTATCAGCATAAGACTTTAGCACTAACAGAGTGTAGTGTACTTTAAAAGGTCATTGGAAGTACACATTTTAGTCTGACATATCATTTCCTTAAAAGTTTATCATCATATGGAAAAGGTGTAATCTAAAGTTACATGTGTTATCATATAATATATAAAGTATGAGTCCGATTTTCAGCTAAAAAAATTCAATGATATTTAATTGCATTATGCCACATGATGCTAAATTCTAGTAATCTAAAAGACATCAGGCTTTCAAAAAAACCGCATGCTCTTGATGTCAAAAATTAGCTCTAAATGAAAAAATTGTTAAGTAGCAGAAGAGGCTAATTATGTTGGTTTAAGTCCTTTAAATTTCAAAATAAAAAGTGTCCTGTCTTTGCCAAGCTGAATATAATAGCCTGTGAATTATAAGATCAAGCAAGAAAACTGTATGTTTTCTAAAATATGAGTATCCTTCATCAAGTTTTATACTTAGGGCAGCTAAAAGACCTATGTGGAGGGATCAGCATTAAGCCCAAAGGACAGGCAGTGCACAGCAAGAAAGAAAGCAATTCCCTCGTGTCTTTTGCAGGTCACTACCAAGGACCATGTTAGCAGATCCATACCAGACCCTTAACAGGCAGTTCTGCTGCTACCAGTAATTAGCTTGGACAGCTCTGGCTCCAAGAGTAGCAGCAAGGCTACACCATAATGAGCTCAGCTGGGATTAGCAGGACAGGGCAGGGAACCAAGAGAGCTCAGGCATTCTGCATTGCGTATGTATCTAGGAGATCAAACAAGGATGGCTGGCTAGGTTATCCCCTCTCCACCTCATTCCAAAAATGAAGCACGGCAGTGTCTAAAATACAAGCTAATGAAGAGCGACACCTCCAACAGATGAGAGCCACATTAATTAACACAATCCCTAGATCATATTATACAGTTTCGGCTAGAGCTAGCAAATGTGCAACTTGTTATTGCATTATACATATATATATATTTAAAAAGCTATTCTTTTTTTTCTTTATTTTTATTAACAAAAACCAGATTATTTCATTTTCAAATTTTATAAGGTATTTCTCTCACGACCTTTAAGCCACAAAAAATTTCTCCCAAATGTTTATCTAAGTCCATGTTGTTAAAAAAGAAACTCACTTTTGAATCATTAGCTCCTGGTTTTCCCTTTTGAAATAGGCCAGTTCATTCCACACAGCATCAGAATCTTCTTGGCGAAGTTGTTGCGGATCTGCTCTCTTTATTTTTCTGATAGGAGTCCTATTTTTAAAATGAAGTTGTTTTCTTCCTTAATATGTTCAAAATGCAATGTAAATTTATTTATACATTCCCTAAAATTTAAAAACATATATTGACCAAATTTCTAAATTCAAGCTCACTATTTATGGAATGAATTTCCTCAAACCTAAGTCTGTAGAAATTAAAATCCTGTGTGAAAATTTCCAAAAGACTAACCTGCTACTACAGAAAGCAAACTTTTAAGCAGAAATATGACAGTCTTAGGTCTATTTCTCTCTATTCATTCTAGTAATAATAAAACATATATTGCAGGATGGCCACTTTCTAAAAAAGGATTATAAGCAATCAACTCATCTAGAATTTGTTGCCAACCAATCTGAATGCCGTATATGCACTTTCTCTTAAAACAAGCTATCATCAGTAAATATGTCAGAAAGTAGTTTTCACGCTTCTAGTGACTACTAAAGTTAGGTGAGCAGAGGCTAAATGCAGGACAAATTGCTTTATCACTACTTTACTGACAAGTGATATGAAACATTTTCCATTCTTCAAAAGAAAAAATTAGACGTGACAATTACCTACAAAACATGCCAAATGCCCTTTATGTTTTCATTTTCTGTACATAAAACAAACTCTTCGTTTTTATTTTGTAAAAGTGCTGTACTGGCCAATTTAGAAACAGTATTTCTCTACAGAACAGACCAATGTGTATCATCAACATTGCCCTAAAGGATCCATCTCAAAAGATGAGAGGGTAGTAGATTTTCTGTACTCATTCAGTCCTTTGCCCTCTGTTGATACTGTTAACAGGGGAGCCACTTACGACTAACCAAGATCTGAACACCTGTTCAGAGCAATTGAACTGAGACCGCCAATTCATTCAGATAAGCTGCAGAACAAACTGATGGATAGTAAAGATTTTCAAATTGCATACTAGGTTGAAGTAGTTTTAAGATAGTTAATTTAACTATATATGTGAATTTCATATTTCTCTGGTCTTCCAATTAAAGAGTTATAAACTTTGTATTACCATTATTTTATTTATTTACTTTTTCAATCATTTGGGTATGAACTAATTTTGCATTAAGTTATCTACTTTACTAATCTACTCTATTGATATTTAAGTGTATACAATAATTCATAATCACCTACATTATGAAATCTGCAAATGATAGGAATATCTATAGTTATTGCTAGCATATTTATCTGCTTTCATTTATTGTATTATCTATTCAAAACTTCACAGGAAAGATTTGAATACCACGTAATTTCTTTAAAATCAAACAAAAGCCATTAAAACACCTATACGATGCTACTCGATTCCATTTAATATTTAGGGAAATGCCTTTATGAGCTATGTAACTCACATGCCACTGCCTTCTTCCCACTGTTTTAATTGCTCTTTTACTGCTCTGTAGTTGGTCTGTAACATCTGTAGCCTTTCCTTGCGTTTTTCATGGGCATCTCTTAGCTCATCATTTTCTTGGCTCTGTAGAACACAAAAAAGCAAGTACACAAGTTTTAAAAAGTATGAGTATAATGTTGCAAATAAAAGGTTGCCCATCTAAATATGAAATTTGAAAGTAAACAGTAAATATAAATTAATTTGTAATACTTATTTAAACAGAAAAAAGGGAAGGATTCTTAAAGTCACAAAAGAGGTTTGCTTGGTAAATTCAACAGATGCACTGCATTTTTTTTAAGCTTAGTAATTTCAAAATTTTGCTGTCAAATTAGTTTCATTCCTTTCCCTGTAGTCAATTAGTACACATACAAATATTTGAGTCAATTTTACAGAATTTTAATTTCTTTTTCAACAAAAGGATTAGTCTATATATAACAAAATTTTATTTTCGTAATTATAAATGCATAGAATTAGTGTAAAAACACTAATCGTAGGAAGATCAATGCTTCTGCCCATGGATTTATGATTCGCTTAATACAAAGCATAGGGATTATACAGGAGGAAAAAAATCAGTTTGGACTATGTCTGAAGTAGCATAGTGTAATATTCTGGGCTGCACTGTACAGAATCGAAATGGAAGAACTGGGCTTTGTACTCTTGAAGAAGTCATAGAAACATTACTGGGTTATACCATTAAAGTCAACAACTTCTGAGTGTTCAAAATAGAGTACATGAAATATGTCTTCATTTAGATACACCCACAAAATGAACTTATCAAGGCCAAATTTTCAGTTCCTAGAGGATGTATTTATGTTACATGTGCACTGTTTCTCAAAGTAAAGTAACTCCTTGAATTTAACCATGTGAATTTCAAATTTGTTTTTTAAACTTTTCCATATTTCTTTTTTCAACTTTTTTTTTTTTTTTTTTTTTTTTTTTTTTTTTTTTTTTTAATTTATTTTTGGGACAGAGAGAGACAGAGCATGAACGGGGGAGGGGCAGAGAGAGAGGGAGACACAGAATCGGAAACAGGCTCCAGGCTCCGAGCCATCAGCCCAGAGCCTGACGCGGGGCTCAAACTCATGGACCGCGAGATCGTGACCTGGCTGAAGTCGGACGCTTAACCGACTGCGCCACCCAGGCGCCCCGAACTTTTCCATATTTCTATCTGAAGGAACCTGTATAGTTATTTAGTGGAGGCAACAGGTACTCTCTAACATTACGGTGAGGTGAAATGAGTAGGCACATGGCAGTCAGAAAAATCTGAAATCTATTCTTGGAGCTTTCTCATGTTGGCTGAATAGTCTTAAGAATGCTATTTAAATTAATTCAATTTCTTTTTCTGTAAAATACTGAAAAGAGCACAGAGATTTAAATAATGATGATTAAATTAAATGAGCAAATATGCAGGTAAAGCCGCTGGCACTATGCTTGCCCGGTAGAGGCACAAAGCAGAAGTTAGCTTTCTTCCCTTTCATTTTCCCAGGTATTAACTGATGTGCTTATCATGAAGAAGCCAAATTCATGGATTCCTGAACCATCTACCTCTCATCTCAACAGTGAGATAATAGTTACAGAGTTTGCATTATTTTACTGCAATTCTACCTGTCTCAACAGTATGGATATTTTGTCATTCCACTTTGAATGTAGGTCTAGTAGGATAACTTCAATAAATCTCTCAAGTAGTTATTAGGAAGTATCTGAGTCCTGTGTGCACCAAGCGTCTGTATGCCATCTGGAAATGGAAGTGCTTGATGAAAACGCACGAGAATGGCATCACTTGAAAGGGGCAATCAGAATAAACGTTATCCTGAAGAGTTTTAGAAGATAAACAGATTACAGATACTGCAAACTTGCTAAAGAGTAGCATGGTTTAATACCATGGTTAAAAATTCAGGATACTGAATTGAATTTTGTTCATTTCAACTGAAGAACCATATATTAAGAGTCTATTACATGCAGAGTGTTAAGTGCTGATAAGAGTTCAACTCTTCCTGCTCACAGTTAGTAAATTTTATCTTGACATAGTTACTTAAATTCAGTGTGTCCCAGTTTCTCCATCTTTAAAATAAAAGCTATTTATATCTCTCCTATTCTAAGACAAAAGAATGATTTACCCCTTTTAAGAAAAATTTTTTAATGTTTATTTATTAACAGAGTGTGAGTGGTGGAGGGGCAGAGAGAGAGGGAGACACAGAATCCAAAGCAGGCTCCAGGCTCCAAGCTGTCAGCACAAAGACCAATGCTGGGCTCGAACTCACAGACCACAAGATCATGACCTTAGCTGAAGTCTGATGCTTAACTAACTGAGCCACCTAGGCACCCCAGGATGATTTACCCTTGACCTTAAGTTTTCCCTACTGTTGGTAAACAATCCAAATATCACTTTACTTCTGTAAATGATAAGCTTTCTAATCTTAGGTGAAATAATTTAAATTAACCAAATAGAAAAGTAATAATTGATAATGTTACTTCCTCATAAATGAAGATAAGTTCATTGTGTTTATTAGAATTCTTTAAGAACTAATCAGATTTATTAGGATTTTAAACAGGATATACTATAAACTTATTAATAAAATAATTATAAGAAATGTATAGGTATTAAAAAGATTCATGTCAACACACAATTTTCTTTTCTTTTCTTTTTTAAAGTTTACTTCTTTATTTTGAGAGAGGGAGGGAGACAGAGCATACACACAAAAGAGAGAGAGCGAGCACGAACAGGGGAAGGGTAGAGAGAGGGAGAAAGGGACTCTGAAGCAGGTCTTGCACTGTCAACACAGAGACCAACATGGAGCATGAACTCATAAACCAAACTTACAAACCAAACCTTGGCTGCTTAAACTGACTGAGCCTCCCAAGTGCCCCCAAAACACAATTTTCAAATGAACATCGTTAAGGTGACTATTTTGTTAAATTCTAAAATAGCTTTCTCTAATTACTCTTCATTGAATCAAATTCCTTCCCCACAAACTCTTATTTTACAATGAATTTCTTAGAAATGATTACATATAAACCCAGTGTTCTGGAATCATTAAAAGTCTGTGTTAAGAGTCCCTAGAAGCTCTGAGTAAAAAGAATTTAAAAGACTGCCCAACAACAAAAGACGTGAATAGACACTTCTCCAAAGAAGACATCCAGAAGGCCAACCGACACATGAAAAAATGCTCCACATCACTCATCATCAGGGAAATACAAATCAAAACCACAATGAGATACCACCTCACACGTGTCAGAATGGCTAACATTAACCACTCAGGCAACAACTGTTGCAAGGATGTTGGAGAGGATGCGGAGAAAGAGGATCTCTTTTGCATTGTTGGTGGGAATGCAAGCTGGTGCAGCCACTCTGGAAAACAGTATGGAGGTTCCTCGAAAAATTAAAAATAGAACAACCCTATGACCCAGCAATTGCACTACTAGGCATTTATCCACAGGACACAGGTGTGCTGTTTCAAAGGGACACATGCACCCCCATGTTTATAGCAGCACTATGAACAATAGCCAAAGTATGGAAAGAGCCCAAATGTCCATCGGTGGATGAATGGATAAAGAAAATGTGGTGTGTATATATACAACGGAGTATTACTTGGCAGTCAAAAAGAATGAAATCTTGCCATTTGCAACTACGTGGATGGAACTGGGGGATATTATGCTAAGTGAAATTAGTCAGAGAAAGACAAAAATCATATGACTTCACTTATATGAGGACTTTAAGAGACAAAACAGATGAACATAGGGAAGGGAAACAAAAATAATATAAAAACAGGGAGGAGGACAAAACAGGAAAGACTCATAAATATGGAGAACAAACTGAGGGTTATTGGAGGGGTTGTGGGAGGGGGGATGGGCTAAATGGGTAAGGGGCACTAAGGAGTCTATTCCTGAAATCATTGTTGCACTATATGCTAACTAATTTGGATGTAAATTTAAAAAAATAAAAAAAATTAAATTACATAAAGCTACAAAAATAATTAAATAAAAATAAAAATAAAAATGATGTTAAAACATTCAATTATAGTGGTGCCCACTGACCACCTGCATCAAAATTACCTGTGATGGTTATTAAAAGTGTTTTAGCCCCCCCCCCAAAAAAAATTTAAAAAAATAAATAAAAGACTGACCAACAAGTAAAAATTAATCAAATGGGATATCCAGATTTTTTGTGTTGTCTTTCACAAAAAAATCCTCTGTTAAGTCTATGGAACAAATGGAGTTTCTTATTGTTAGTACTATCATTATTTTAGCATTTTACAGTACTGTCTCAGCTTCCACTAATCACTGAATTTATACCCAATATTTTCCCTAGTTCTTATAGAGAAATCAACTATTTTAGGCTATTAAACCGAAGATTAAGACTCAATAAAAATATCCTGAGTCCTAAATGTCACCCACAATATGCCAGACTCTGTCTTAGGCATAATACTTAAACAAAGCACTCACCGTAGCGACCTCTGTAAAACTTTGGTGTAATGTATTTCATATTAGCAAATAGTTTTGATTTTTCTATAGTACTTGAAATAGGGGGCTCCCTCCATTAAGTAGTGATTATGGGAAAGTAGTTTTATACAGGAGCTTTCTCCTTTAATAACGCATGCTTCATAATTTACTACAACTAATGCTGGAGTATTTACATATTCTTTACAAAATTACTAAGATCTAAATTATTACAAATGAAAGTAAACTAGAGATTATTTCACAAATCAATTTGATAGGCATAATTTATAACAATTATTATTTTAAAATGCAGTTTCATCCATAGATTTGTCCTTTGAGAATGCTACTAACAAATTTTAACACATGGGTTAAATAAGTCCTAGAGACTATTGTTCCTTTGGCCTACTTTACAAATAGGCCAGAATTATAGAGATATGTAAATATAGGATAGATAAATAGATACATAGATAGATAATATATATTCAAAGAAAAACATTTTTCCCTATTTTAGTGCAAGAACAGATTTAGCTGAAGTCTTCAGGCAAAAGTTAACTATCTCAAAAGAAATATTTAATGTGTAGAAAGAATAATCAAAATATTTTTTTATAATATTATAACAAATACAAATTAACCATAGTTTGGATTAT